CTGGGACCATGACCAGAGCTGAAGGCAGACGCTTAATGACTGAGCCACCCAGGCACCCTCTCTCTTGATTTCTCAAATAAATTCTAAAAAAAATTTTCACGAATTTGCGTGTCATCCTTGCTCAGGCCAGGCTAATCTTCTCTGTATCGCTTCAATTTTAGTATATGTGCTGCCGAACGGAGCACGCAGGTTGTGCATAGCCAACTCGTTAAGTGCAGCAGAGGGATGGATGTTCTCAAGGACTTCCCAGGTCAGAAGTTTGTGTTTATGTGCTGGATGGTTAGAATTCATGCCTTTTCTTGGTCTCTTTTAATGCTGAGCCTTTTGGGTCTTGTACTGTTGAGAAGGGAGCATGGGGTTAGGAGCAGGGGAGAAACTGCAGAGGTTAAGGTAAGTTACTGGTAAGTGGGAAAGAACAACTCGAGATGTGAAAACATTAACTATATGAAAATAATCTGATGTTTGTCTAAAATGAAACTTGAGAGAATCAGATAATGGAAATTGGACAGCCATTTAAGGGAAATAATTAGTTTGGAGTGACTTTCAATAAGTAAATGGGTGTTGGATATACATTTTGAAGAATGTGTTGGGAAAACATGGCTAATGGATTACTTCTAATGTATAAAAGATGGTATTCTATTTAAAGAATTTCTTGGGAGCCCTGTGAAGTATTTATTTTTGTGATATGAATAATCACCTGATAGTTGACCTAAACTCTGTATGTACCCTTATATGTGTACTTTTGGGGGAAAATTTTGATAATATATATACCCAGGAAAGAGTCAAAGGGGATGAATAGTTTCTTAACACTGCGCTGCTAATACTTACTGATGGGTGCTTGAATAAAACTTAGTACTTGCAGAGGTGCCTGAGTAGCTTAGGTCATGATCTCAGGGTCCTGGGATTGAGCCCCCAGTTGGGCTCCCTGCTCAGCGGGGAGCCTGATTCTCCCTCTGCCTTTGATGCCCCCCCGCCCCCCACTTGTGCTCTTTCTTTGCTCTCTCTTTTGCTCTGCTCTGTCTCTCTCGCTCTGCTCTCTCTTTGCTCTCTCTCTCGCTCTGCTTTGCTCTGTTGCTCTGCTCTGTCTCTCTCGCTCTGCTCTCTCTTGCTCTGCTCTCTCTCGCTCTGCTTTGCTCTGTCCCTCTCTCTCGCTCTGCTTTGCTCTGTCCCTCTCGCTCTGCTTTGCTCTGTCGCTCTCTCTCGCTCTGCTTTGCTCTGTCGCTCTCTCTCACTCTGCTTTGCTCTGTTCCTCTTTTTTTTTTTATCACTCTGCTGTCGCTCTCTCGCTCTGCTGTGCTCTGTCCCTCTCTCTCTTCTGCTTTGCTCTCTCCCTCTCGCTCTCTCTCGCTCTGCTTTGCTCTGTCGCTCTCTCTCGCTCTGCTTTGCTGTCGCTCTCTCGCTCTGCTTTGCTCTGTCTCTCTCGCTCTGCTTTGCTCTGTCGCGCTCTCTCGCTCTGCTTTGCTCTGTCGCTCTCTCTCACTCTGCTTTGCTCTGTTCCTCTTTTTTTTTTATCACTCTGCTGTCGCTCTCTCGCTCTGCTTTGCTCTGTCCCTCTCTCTCGCTCTGCTTTGCTCTGTCGCTCTCTTCTGTTTTGCTCTCTCCCTCTCTCTCGCTCTGCTTTTCTCTGTCGCTCTCTCTCGCTCTGCTTTGCTGTCGCTCTCTCGCTCTGCTTTGCTCTGTCTCTCTCGCTCTGCTTTGCTCTGTCGCTCTCTCTCGGTCTGCTTTGCTCTGTCCCCCTCTCTCGCTCTGCTTTGCTGTCGCTCTCTCATTCTGCTTTGCTTTGTCGCTCTCTCTCGCTCTGCTTTGCTCTGTCGCTCGCTCTCTGCTTTGCTCTCTCCCTCTCTCTCGCTCTCCTTTGCGCTGTTGCTCTCTCTCGCTCTGCTTTGCTGTCGCTCTCTCGCTCTGCTTTGCTGTCGCTCTCTCGCTCTGCTTTGCTCTGTCCCTCTCTCTCGCTCTGCTTTGCTCTGTCGCGCGCTCTCGCTCTGCTTTGCGCTGTCGCTCTCTTGCTCTGCTGTCGCTCTCGCTCTGCTTTGCTCTGTTGCTCTCTCTCGTTCTGCTTTGCTCTGTCTCTTGCTCTGCTCTCGCTCTCTCAAATAAAATCTTAAAAAAAAAAAAAAAAACCCAAAACTTAGTACTTGCATATGTGTACTTACATGCGTGTGGTAAATCTTATTCCTTGGTTACCCAGGGTAAATACTACACAATGTTGAGTAACTTTTCTGCTAGCTAAAGCAACATATAGCGGTGTGTAATTTGTACATTAGACCTCTTAGTAGAGTGTGTTTGTGTGTATATGTATTTTTTTTTCTTAATTTGGGTATGGAGCTCAACTCGTGGCCCAAACTCATGACCCCGAAATCAAGACCTCAGCTGAGATCGAGAGTCTGATGCCTAACTCACTGAGCCACCCAGATACCCCAGTAGAGTGTATTTTTAAAGGCTTTTATGGGAAATATAACATTATCCAAAAGCAGAGACACAGTATGTGCCCTGCACTTTAGTATTTGTTAACACATGAGTTATTTTCAAACAAATCTCAGACTTAGCATTTCATGTGTAAATTCTGAGACTTAGGTGGTGGTTGAAATTTTTTTTTCTTAAATTGACATTCTTACCATCTCTTTGGTGTATTGTCCCTGATGATTGGGCTTTGTTTTACTGTCCCATAAAAATAATGTAAAACTGCTTTTTCCTTCCTCCTTAGTTTATGCTTACAAACAGGATGTACCTGAGTTTGGTTAATCTACATGTTCTTTATAGTTCCCTAAGGGATAGGCGGTATCTGACATGTATTTCTCATGCTTTGAGGGAAATGCGAGAGAGAAAGGACTAGGTTATGAATGTGGTCTAAGTTGTGTTTTGCTGTGGTACTTCAAAATAAGTGGATTATTTGAAAGGGAGATTTCTAGTTTTAGAAGTTAAGTAATTTAATTATTTCACTTGATATGTTAAGCCCAATTGCTAATATATATTTTTTAAATAGCTAGTTGACTATAAATTCCTTTACCTTCTAAGGGGGGTGATTTTGTGTGTGGCCTCTATATTACAATCTCACATAATCTCTTCCTCCCCTTCTCCCTCTGACAGTGTTGAACAAGGGATAGAAGAAGAGAGGATTAAATGCATTATATTATTATTGTATATAATTGATACTATGTAACCTATGTATTTATATATATGGACATTTGAACTAAGGTCGGATTTTTTTGGGGGGTATTGAGGTATGAAAGCTTAATGAATCAGAATGGTTAATAATTACACATACAATGAGTTAGGCAATAACCAAACAATTTATACACATAGATATAATACCAAAGAGTTGAATGGATGATACAAAGATTCATACATGTAGGATGCTGAGACATTAGAATTATATTAGGTGTCAGTAAAACCAATAAAACCATCATAGTAATGAAGTGTTTTGTATATATAACAAGTGATTATAAAGAATGCTAAATAACTCGAATAGCAAGTTTTAGTAGGTTGAGACAAATTGACAGCGTTTTTGACCAGTAAAGAGAGGATGCACATTTCCAAATGCCAACCAGAATTATTTCCGCTGGAAAGGTTTTAGGCCTAATAAAAATTCCATAAACTTAACGAAAGCAGAAATCTTTATATCTGTGTGTGTGTGTGTGTGTGTGTATATATATATATTTTAATACTTTTTATTTGACAGAGAGACAGCAAGAGAGGGAGCACAAGCAGGGGGAGTGGGAGAGGGAGGGGGAGAGGGAGAAGCAGGCTCCCTGCTGAGCAGGGAGCTTGATGTGGGGCTCGATCCCAGGACCCTGGGATCGTGACCTGAGCCGAAGGCAGACGCTTAATGACTGAGCCACCCAGGTGCCCAGATAACATATTTTTGAGCATTATGCAATGACAGTAGGAACCATCAGTTGAGGTGTACTCAATACGTAATACCTAGCTAAATACATATTTCATTAAAGATCTTTTATATAACAACTAGTTAGAAACTTTCCTTCAAATAAATAAAATCTTAAAAAAAGTTTGAAGTTTCTTTTTTTTAAAGTTTTTATTTTAATTTGAGTTAACTAACATACAGTGTTAGTAAGGTCAGTCAGGGATTTTTAGTGTTTTCTGTACTTGGTAGCCTGAAACTTATGGACCTCATAGGATGTTTTTCAGTGCATAATATAAAATACATAGGATTATGAAGGAAATCACTGATTTTTGAAATACAGTTAGCAAAATGTTAAAACTCATAGTAAATATGTACTGCTTAACATAATTTCTGGCAACACCTCTGAATCTCACAGTAAGGGGTGTAGATGATAAAAACCTGCAGCAAGTTAATGCGTTATAAAAATATCTGCTGTATATTAATGTCAAAATTACAAGTGGTGTGATTCTACTGTGGTTTAATGCCAACATTCACAGTTAAAGGAGGTACTAAATTTCAGTTAGGGGATAGTGAAAATAAATAGGTGATTTTTATCCCCCCTCATCTAGGTTCCCTGAATCTATTTATGGACCCCTTGGCTGTGATCTTAGATTAAGAACATCTGTAGTATGGATTTGTTTGTGTCCTGGTATGCTTAATTTGAGGCTTGAGGGCTTGAATTTAGAATATAGTCACCAGAGGAAATGTTTCTCAAATATAATTTAAGAAAGCCAATTTTAGGGGCTCCTGGCTTGGCTCGGTCAGTAAAGCATGGAACGCTTGATCTTGGAGTTGTAAGTTTGAGCCTCATATTGGTTGTAGAGATTACTTAAAATCTCAAAAACTAATTTTAGTGGTTTTTAAAATAAACTGTAATAATCCAATGATGCTGGATCTCCAAATGGTCTTAATATGATCCTGTGATCAACTTGGTCTCCTTTTTCCTCCATGGGCTGCATTTTCTTATTATACATTGGTTTGTATGTAGTTAATAAAAAGTTAATATGTTAAATAACTTCAAAGCATCCATGTTGGCTATTAATGTCTTTTGTTTTCATATTTTATTTTGCTTTTATAAAACATTTTAATTCTTCTGCAGGATCCGGAAACTTCAGATACGGAATATCCCGCCTCACTTACAGTGGGAGGTAAGAATTTACATATTTAATAAAGTCAAGATTTCTGTATCTAAGCTTACTGTTAGTTTTTTCCAAGCATTTTTCTACTTCCCCCCAACTCTGGGTTGTGCTAGAACACAAAATTCTTATGTATTGTCTTACTGTGGGGTTTTCTTCGCTGCGGCATATAGTATCTCTGTTAAAAATCTGCTCTTTGATATACTTTAACTGGGTAATTTTCCTCATTCAGTCCCATCCTAACAGAATCTTGTTTGAGATCTTCCTGATGAGTTCACCAGTTATATTTAAATATGGATTTCTCTCCCTAGCAGAATTTTTAAAGACACATACCTGCTACTTATGCTTTATTTTAAAATGTTAACTCTGCTTTCTTTTGCTCAGACGGTGGCACTGTAGTGACTATGTATAAACAAACTATTTAGCACAATTGAATCCCATTGTCAGTAACTTCCAAAACATAATAATGATGTCATGGTGAGAATTTGAGACGCCAGTAGTTGAAGAGATTTAAAAACCATGTCTGTTGAATCTTCCTGATGATGGAACCTGAAAATTCCTGGCACCTTGGAGAAGTGGTGCCGGGAAAACTGCTCAGCTTTTATATATTTTCTAATATAAAAATCAAGAGTAGCTAGCTTGGTGTGTTTCACATTAGTCTTCTGAAATGACATTTGATGAGTCAGTCACTAAACCCAAAACCTTCACTGAAATGAAAAGTATGGTTGAAAGGTTTCTTTGGCAGTGAATTAAGGCAGGTTGGTCTGAGGTGTGATTCTCCCAAGGTCCCATTTGGTAACAAATCATTTATGCTCATAATATTCTAGAGCATTTATTTTCAGAACAATATTATTGAGTTTAATCTTTGCTGGAGGAGTTCTTTCTTTGGTATATGCTAAATATTTTCCAAGTTATATGATGTATAGAAAGTATGTTTTTGTAGATGGAAACAGTGACTTTCAAGATTAAACCTAAGGCATTTTCCTGTTTTAGATTAATACTTGTTTAGGAAATTCAGTAGCTTGGAGGATGGGTACTCAAATCAAGTGTTGTGCTAGTCAAGGTTACTGATTTGGTTCCCCTATTTTATTTTTATTTATTGATATATTTGATCCCCCTATTTTAACATGTTAAACATGATTTTTGGTTTGTATACACTCGTATAGTGTAGCTTTCAATGAAATAAATGGTAGCAGCCAATTTTAAGATAGGAATACTGGCACGTCAGCTATAGGCAAGGGGCGGTTCTCTTTTTATTCATTCATAGTATCTCTTCATATTTAGATTGCACTAGCTTCTGAAGCATTTAATTTATTGTACTTTTGGTGGCTTTTCAAGGTTTTAGTTTACTGTATTCTTTCTCATTCTGGGTAAGATTTAATTCATGAGAATAAATATCTGTTTGCCGTGTTCAACTTTTTCTTAACTTTTTTATATTTCATTTTGCCCTCCTCCTAGTCCTTTGAGGTAAGGTGAAGTTGGGGGCGCTATCTCCATTTTCAGGTGGGCGAATAAGGGCACACAGGATTAAAAAAAATAAGAACTACTGAATTGTAAGATGCTTAGAACTAGACTTTGAAACTCTTGACCTTTGATCTTAAATTTTTTTTAAATGTTTGAAATACTGATAAAAAATTACTGAGGGCTTGTCAGGAGTAGAATGAACTATTAGGGTGTTTCCTTTTACTTGAAGACTTGAGTGAATACCATCTGTTACTTCCTTTTTGAGATGAGTCACTTTGTATAACGTTTTATTTGTACACACGGAGTATGCTGGCTGTCTTGTGCCAAAGCCGTATAGACAGTGATAATTTTGGATTTAAAGGTCCAGATTTCTTTTATAATGGAGGGATTAAACTTTGAATCCACTGGTTTGTCTTAGATTCATTGACAATGGAATGGCCAAACATTTGTGCCTTCTGTTTGGATGCAGTGAGGAAATACAGAGAAACACAGGTGAAATCGTCTAACCTTATTAAAAAAAAAAAAAAAAGACTTGTTTCAATTTCAGTCTAACTTTGAATCACCAAAAATATAGACAATAGAGGCACAACTTTAAATGATGCCATGAAGAAACAACTAGTCAAGTCCAGAATATGAGACATTCCACAGGACATGTGATACTGTTCTAGTCAAACAAGGGCATGTTGAAAGGGAGAAGAACTGTTAGGGACTAGGACCTAAAAGGATAACAAACAAGCATATACTTAAAGTAAGTTATCTGTGAATCATGTCAATAGTCCTTCGAAGCAGCGTGAAGTATCTAGAAAAGCCTTAGTGGCTTTTGGGGTCAGTATCTAGAAAACCTTAGTGGCTTTTGGGGTCAGTATCTAGAAAAGCCTTAGTGGCTTTTGGGGTCAGTATCTAGAAAAGCAGGCTTTTGGGGTTAGACTTGGAATTGTATCCCAGCTCCACTACTTTCTAGTTGTGTGATCTCTGAGCAGGTTTTAAAATTATTCTGAGCCTCATTTTGTTCATTTATAACATGAGGATGAGGATCGCAGCCACCTCATTGGGTTGCTGTGAACATTGATAGAGTGATGTATGCTAAAGCCCTTAAAAATGCGTTGTACATAGAAGTGCACACTACATTTAAGCTAGGACATGAGCAACAAATCCACCTTCTCTCTCTTTTTTTTAATATTTTTTCTTAAAAAAATGTTTTTTTAAAGATTTTATTTGACAGAAAGCACAAGCAGGGAGAGTGGCAGAGGGAGAAGCAGACTCCTCGCTGAGCAGGGAGCCCGATGTGGGGCTCAATCCCAGGACCCTGATCATGACCCGAGCCGAAGGCAGTCGCTTAACCAACTGAGCCAGCCAGGTGCCCCCAAATTCATCTCCTCTTAACTTTATGTTCTGGTGCTTCTCTTAGGTCCAGCCTGGAGCCCAGCAAACACTATGTTTTTCACCAGGGGAAATTAAGTGTAAAGGATTACACAGGTGCTGGAGAACTGAAAGGGGGAATCCAGAGGTGGTGACTGCAGGGAATGGCTACCATCTGAAGGCTGAGGGGTCAGACGAAAAGGTTGAGATGATCAGATCTTCGAAACTTGGAGAGAGAGCCCTGAGTATTTGAGACTCTGAGCAAGGGTTGTGGCTGGTGCCTGGGATGGCGGGGGGAGGGAGGTTATGAAACTGGCTCTAGGAGTGGCCATGGCAGCTAGAGACTGAAAGGCACTGCTGATAGGGACAGCTGATAAATGGGAAAGAGCCTGTCCTGTGTCCTCATTCCTGACTTCCAGTCTCTGAAACTACCAGGGAACTGAGGTCAAAGGAGTGATATAGGGTGCAGAGTCCTAGTATTGAAAAGTTGAAAGGTAGATCTGGAACCAAGAGCTTAATATTCACTCAGTTCTTTTTTTTTTTTTTATTTTACTTTTAATTTAATTAATTAACTTATTTTCATTCATTTGCAAGAGAGCATGAGCTGGGGGGGGCAGAGGGAGAGGGAGAAGCAGACTCCCCACTCAGCAGGGGGCCTGACTCTGGGCTTGATCACAGAACCCCAGGATCATGACCTGAGCTAAAAGCAGTTTAACCAACTGAGCCACCCCAGGTGCTCTTCAGTCAGAGTTCTAACCCAGAAGTGAAAATTTCTGCCCTGTTCTGCCAGTCAAGCCATTTTCTTTGAGGTCACTAAAGAGCTGACAGAATCTGGAACCAGGGTAGAAACACTGAATATGATGCTCTGTGACATTTTATCAGATCTGTAGCTGGATTGTTAATTACTTCATTCCACTATAATGTTTTTTATTTTATGTTTGCATTCATTTATTGTTTATATTTTCTTTATACTGCCGTATACTAAATGATCAGAAGGGGATTCCTTTCGGGTTCTCTGTGTAGTGCATCTTGCATGCTGTGTGTGCCAAGCAGGGGTTAAACAGATTCTAACTGTGTAGTTTTGGACGATGATAAAGCACTTAGGGGTATTGGATTGGCTAACTGTTTCACTACCTAAGCGTTTGTTTTTTGGCAGATAAAAACATGAGGAAACTAACTTTTTGAAGGACCTGTTGCTGGAGAATTAGGTAGTTTTGTTTTTCTCCGAGTATGGGGAATGTAGAAGGGAAATAGGAGAAATTGCTGCTTTTCTACTTCCCTTCCCCTTGCCTGAGATACTTGAAGAGTAGATTTTTGGTGTGACCAAAATGATAGAAGGGCCACATCTACAGTCCTGATGGCCAGCAGACCTGGGTCCTCAGATGCCCTGAACGAGGTGAGCATGTGTGCTAAAGATTTGAGTGGGTACCTTCTTGGACAAACAACACAGAGGTGGGGGAGTGACAGAGTCCCAGCAGTACACTTCACTTTCAACACCTTTGAGAACATGGTTTCTTTTTATTCAGCGTCTCAGATGGGCCCCATTTCCTAAATTTAAGAAATTTCTTTCTGCATTTAACAAATAAATTGCCAAGGCTTTAGGAAAGGATTGTCAAAGAGAGTTTTTCCTAATCTCATTTCCTAATCTCTTACTACTGCTTTCCAGTCTAGATAATCAAAATTCCTAATAAGTACTCTCAATACCAAAACGAGTACCTTCTCTGAAAGAAATGTAAGACTCATTAGTTATGTAAATGAAATGTTGTAAAGAGTAAGTTAGGTTCTCATTTTGGGCTTGGGCAATAAAAGTAGAGTGTTTCCCCAAGTTCCCTGTCTGGGAGAAGAGTCTGAGCCAGTTAGTCCTCTTCATCTGAGGGGTTCTGTATGATAAGGCCCTGACATTGCCCAAGACTGAAGCCACCATATTTTCTTTCTCTCTCTCTCTCTCTCTTTTTTTTAAGATTTTATTTATTTGAGAGACAGCATGAGAGAAGCGTGAGCTGGGGGGAAGGACAGAGGGAGAGGGAGAAGCAGACTCCCTGCTGAGCACGGAGCCTGTGACTGGGCTCGATCCCAGCAGCCTGAGATTATGACCTGAGCCGAAGGCAGATGCTTAACCAACTGAGCCACCGAAACGCCCCACCACTATATTTTCTAAGGCAAAGATTTGAATATGTGGTCTGACAAAT